AGAAACTCAATCAAAACCGCTCAACTACATGGAAACTGAACAACCTGCTCCTGAATGACTACTGGGTACATAACAAAATGAAGGCAGAAATAAAGATGTTCTTTGAAACCAATGAGAACAAAGATACAACATACCAGAATCTCTGGGACACATTTAAAGCAGTGTGTAGAGGGAAATTTATAGCACTAAATGCCCACAAGAGAAAGCTGGAAAGATCTAAAATTGACACTCCAACATCACAATTAAAAGAACTAGAGAAGCAAGAGCAAACACATTCAAAAGCTAGCAGAAGGCAAGAAATAACTAAAATCAGAGCAGAACTGAAGGAGATAGAGACACAAAAAACCCTCCAAAAAATCAATGAATCCCGGAGTTGGTTTTTTGAAAAGATCAACAAAATTGATAGACCGCTAGCAAGACTAATAAAGAAGAAAAGAGAGAAGAATCAAATAGACGCAATAAAAAAGGATAAAGGGGATATCACCACCGACCCCACAGAAATACAAACTACCATCAGAGAATATTATAAACACCTCTATGCAAATAAACTAGAAAATCTAGAAGAAATAGATAATTTCCTGGACACTTACAATCTCCCAAGACTAAACCAGGAAGAAGCGGAATTCCTGAATAGACCCATAGCAGGCTCTGAAATTGAGGTAATAATTAATAGCCTACCAATGAAAAAAAGTCCAGGACCAAATGGATTCACAGCTGATTTCTACCAGAGGTCCAAGGAGGAGCTGATACCATTCCTTCTGAAACGATTCCAATCAACAGAAAAAGAGGGAATCCTCCCTAACTCATTTTATGAGGCCAACATCATCCTGATACCAAAGCCTGGCAGAGACACAACAAAAAAAGAGAATTTTAGACCAATATCCCTGATGAACATCGATGCAAAAATCCTCAATAAAATAGTGGCAAACCGGATCCAGCAGCACATCAAAAAGCTTATCCACCATGATCAAGTGGGCTTCATCCCTGGGATGCAAGGCTGGTTCAACATACGCAAATCAATAAACGTAATCCAGCATATAAACAGAACCAAAGACAAAAACCACATGATTATCTCAAGAGATGCAGAAAAGGCCTTTGACAAAATTCAACAGCCCTTCATGCTAAAATCTCTCAATAAATTCGGTATTGATGGAACGTATCTCAAAATAATAAGAGTTATTTATAACAAACCCACAGCCAATATCATACTGAATGGGCAAAAACTGGAAAAATTCCCTTTGAAAACTGGCACAAGACAGGGATGCCCTCTCTCACCACTCCTATTCAACATAGTGTTGGAAGTTCTGGCTAGGGCAATCAGGCAAGAGAAAGAAATAAAGGGTATTCAGTTAGGAAAAGAAGAAGTCAAATTGTCCCCGTTTGCAGATGACATGATTGTATATTTAGAAAACCCCATTGTCTCAGCCCAAAATCTCCTTAAGCTGATAAGAAACTTCAGCAAAGTCTCAGGATACAAAATTAATGTGCAAAAATCACAAGCATTCTTATACACCAGTAACAGACAAACAGAGAGCCAAATCATGAATGAACTTCCATTCACAATTGCTTCAAAGAGAATAAAATACCTAGGAATACAACTTACAAGGGATGTAAAGGACCTCTTCAAGGAGAATTACAAACCACTGCTCAGTGAAATAAAAGAGGACACAAACAAATGGAAGAACATACCATGCTCATGGATAGGAAGAATCAGTATCGTGAAAATGGCCATACTGCCCAAAGTAATTTATAGATTCAATGCCATCCCCATCAAGCTACCAATGAATTTCTTCACAGAATTGGAAAAAACTGCTTTAAAGTTCATATGGAACCAAAAAAGAGCCCGCATTGCCAAGACAATCCTAAGTCAAAAGAACAAAGCTGGAGGCATCACGTTACCTGACTTCAAACTATACTACAAGGCTACAGTAACCAAAACAGCATGGTACTGGTACCAAAACAGAGATATAGACCAATGGAACAGAACAGAGTCCTCAGAAATAATACCACACATCTATAGCCATCTGATCTTTGACAAACCTGAGAAAAACAAGAAATGGGGAAAGGATTCCCTATTTAATAAATGGTGCTGGGAAAATTGGCTAGCCATAAGTAGAAAGCTGAAACTGGATCCTTTCCTTACTCCTTATATGAAAATTAATTCAAGATGGATTAGAGACTTAAATGTTAGACCTAATACCATAAAAACCCTAGAAGAAAACCTAAGTAATACCATTCAGGACATAGGCATGGGCAAGGACTTCATATCTAAAACACCAAAAGCAACGGCAACAAAAGCCAAAATTGACAAATGGGATCTAATTAAACTAAAGAGCTTCTGCACAGCAAAAGAAACTACCATCAGAGTGAACAGGCAACCTACAGAATGGGAGAAAATTTTTGCAATCTACTCATCTGACAAAGGGCTAATATCCAGAACCTACAAAGAACTCAAACAAATTTACAAGAAAAAAACAAACAACCCCATCAAAAAGTGGGCAAAGGATATGAACAGACAGTTCTCAAAAGAAGACATTTATGCAGCCAACAGACACACGAAAAAATGCTCATCATCACTGGCCATCAGAGAAATGCAAATCAAAACCACAATGAGATACCATCTCACACCAGTTAGAATGGCAATCATTAAAAAGTCAGGAAACAACAGGTGCTGGAGAGGATGTGGAGAAATAGGAACACTTTTACACTGTTGGTGGGATTGTAAACTAGTTCAACCATTATGGAAAACGGTATGGCAATTCCTCAAGGATCTAGAACTAGAAGTACCATATGACCCAGCCATCCCATTACTGGGTATATACCCAAAGGATTATAAATCATGCTGCTATAAAGACACATGCACACGTATGTTTACTGCGGCACTATTCACAATAGCAAAGACTTGGAATCAACCCAAATGTCCATCAGTGACAGACTGGATTAAGAAAATGTGGCACATATACACCATGGAATACTATGCAGCCATAAAAAAGGATGAGTTTGTGTCCTTTGTAGGGACATGGATGCAGCTGGAAACCATCATTCTCAGCAAACTATCGCAAGAACAGAAAACCAAACACCGCATGTTCTCACTCATAGGTGGGAACTGAACAATGAGATCACTTGGACTCGGGAAGGGGAACATCATACACCAGGGCCTATCATGGGGAGGGGGGAGGGGGAGGGATTGCATTGGGAGTTATACCTGATGTAAATGACCAGTTGATGGGTGCTGACGAGTTGATGGGTGCAGCACGCCAACATGGCACAAGTATACATATGTAACAAACCTGCACGTTACGCACATGTACCCTAGAACTTAAAGTATAATAATAAAGAAAAAAAAAGGGGGGGTTTCACAGATAACTAAGTTGGCATTTGGACCCAGGTCTCTCTGTAACTGAAATGTTCACTACAATGACCACCGCGCCCACTCAACCACTGGTCCTCCACTGAGATCACTGGCCACATCCCCTGCCCTTCATCCAGCATGCCAACCACACAGAAGGATTTAAACACCAGATTTGTCCTCAGTACACTGCTGTTGTTAAATCAACCAAAGTCAGACTGAGAACCCTTTTGACAAAGCCTGTGTGTGTGTGTGTGTGTGTGTGTGTGTGTGTGTGTGTGTGTGTGTGACAGAGAGACAGAGGGGGGTGAGGGTTAAAGAGTTTTATTCTCAGTAGGAAGGCATGAGAAGTTTAAAAAAAATCCTTCTTTTTCAAGTATACTTCATTTAATGCAAAGATTCAAAGTAAGATTCCACAAAATAACCCTTTAGATCGAAATGGATTTAAACGCAATGAATATCAAGAAGTGGTCCCTCCTGACAAATGCAGAAAACCATGCTATCATCCAGACAACTTAAGCAGAACTGGCTCAATCTGTAACATTTTTGCAAAACCAGGGATTTTGTTAGTATGTGAAAAATAAATCTCGGGACCCCAAAATCACTAAGCCAAAGGGAAAAGTCAAGCTGGGAACCGTGTCAGGCAAACTTGCCTCCTATTTTATTCCTAAGATAGCTTATCTTTACAGGTGTGGGACAGAAAGTCCTCCTTCTGCTCACCCGAGACAAGTGTTTATCTGATTGCTTCCTCTGCCCCATTGTTCATCTAAAAATGCAGACTCACTGAGCCAGACTAAGGCATAAATGACTATTCCTGTACTTGCCTCTCACAAGTAAGTTGTGTGTTCAGTGAAAGGCTGATCAAAGACTCAAAAGGATGCAACCATTTGTCTCTGATCTAACTATAACCTGCTTTCCCCACTTTCATTTTTTTTTCTTCTTTTTTTTTTTTTTGAGACGGAGTCTGGCTCTGTCGTCCAGGCTGGAGTGCAGTGGCCGGATCTCAGCTCACTGCAAGCTCCGCCTCCCGGGTTTACACCACTCTCCTGCCTCAGCCTCCCGAGTAGCTGGGACTACAGGCGCCTGCCACCTCACCCGGCTAGTTTTTTGTATTTTTTAGTAGAGACGGGGTTTCACTGTGTTAGCCAGGATGGTTTCGATCTCCTGACCTCGTGATTCGCCCGTCTCGGCCTCCCAAAGTGCTGGGATTACAGGCTTGAGCCACCGTGCCCGGCTAACAATGTACTTCTTACACATGGTGACTGATATCTCAAGTCTCCCTAAAATGTGTAAGAGCAAGCTGTGCCCCGACCACCTTGGGCACATGTCCTCAGGACCTCCTGAGGCTGTGTCACCGGCGTGTCCTTAAACTTGGCAAACTAAACTTTCTAAATTGAGACCTATCTCAGATATTTTGGGTTCAAAACATAATTATTTCAATTATTTGCTATATTTGACAATATAAACCAGTCTTTATTTTCTGATCTAGGTGGCAACCCAGGAGGGCAAATTGTAATAATCTTGGCAGTCAAAATCGATCATTCAGTGACTCTACCTTGGTTTCAATTTCCATCTGCTGCCATTGTAGCTCTGAAGCAAACAAATGGAGATGCTACAACAGTATCTGAAAAACCAAAGTTATGGTACTTACCACATTAAAGTTGCTATCAGAAGACCAACGCCTACACAATCTATGAATACAACCCAAAGGAGAAGCTTTATTGTCTCAAAGAATCCCATGTCCAGCACAAAGCCAAATCCTATAGTGGACACTGAAAGAAAGATTCACAAGATTCATTTAGGGACTCGGCTAGGTTCTGGAAATACAGAACACATCCCTTGCCCTCCAGATGCCCAGGCTAGTGGGAGAGACAGGTCTGTACACAAAACTCCCAAGATGTGTGAACACCACCTTGGAACAAAGCGTGGCCACTGAGAGAGTTGGAAGTTTCCTGAGGTGGGCTCCTGCCAGGCTGATTCACCACGGTGGCCTCAGTATTTAGAACGCCAGTCTAGAGAAGGCACTAACATACCTTAAGTCCAGTTAAGGTGCAAAACACCCTGTAAACTTCAATATCTTACCCACCTCAACACCCTACAGGTAAATGAGACCCTTGCATTATGGAATTGGAGAACTTCAGTTTCTCAGGTTCACATCAATACTTTTACAATTCTCACTCTGGGTTTGCCTGACTGAAATGCAATTTCCAGTTTCATATTCCTTTTCACAGTCAGCTGCATACTGGTTCACAGTAGTTGAAAAGATATGGAGTGAATTTCGTCCCCTGCTTTTCAATGTCCTAGGGTAACAGTTTACTCTGGTATCTGCTTGGGACCTGTAGAACCAAGACTACGACTTTCTTTCCTGTGAGATTTTTGAGGCTTCAGTAAAAAGGAGAAATAGTTTCCACTATTTCCAGATTCTGACCCACAACACATTTATAACAAATAAAAAGTCTAATCAGAAACGCTAAGCGTTCAATTCTGTCTCAGACAAACACACTTACCACAGAGCCAGATACTTAACAGGACCAAGAAAGCAGGGTCATCTCTGGCCCACTGGTCCTTCGTCTGTTTTCGATAATGAAAATTTCTGTAAACTCTCTGTGGGGATGTGAACAGGTAGAGCATCTGCCAGGCAGCAAATTCAAAGTCCATCTGCCGAAAGCGGAAAAGCCTTCTCAGATATTTGTAGCGTTTCGCTCCGGCTGTGTGTCTTGCTGCATCCCTGGAATTCAAGACTCCGTTCCCCTGCACTGAGGAATTCACTGAAGTACTCGGTAACATCTTCCTAGATGGAAGAAAAACATTTCTTTTACACGTATGCTGAAGAAACTTTTGGCTACGGGCACCCCTCTTCTGAGTTACTTGGCAGGGAGGTCACTTTCCATGTTCTTCCCAACCCTAGAGAAAGGCCAGGAGTCAAAAGCAAATGCAGCTGGTTCTGAGGCGGGGCTTGGGGCTTGGGAACCGCAGCCTGCAACCTCAGGCAAGGGCAACAGCTCACCCTTCTCAATCACTTAGTAACACATATCCAGGGGCAGCTACCATTACAGAGACGGGGATGATGTGACAGCCCCATGACTCCAAGAAGAGTGATAGAGCCAAGATTCCAAATCTGACTCGAAATTCCGTGCTCTTAACCACCAAGCTTTTAAGAAAATGCCTAAGAAAGCAATGTTTCAGCCGGTTAGAACAGTGTTACCGAAAAGGTAAAACAAATGGCCTATTCACATAGATCCATCAGCGCACTGCCAGCAAGCTCCTCGGTCACTAGAATGAGATTAAAAACCAAGCAAAACTCCGATCCCTAGTGTTTTACATCCGGAATAGGTTAGCAGAGGGAGCGGTAGCGTCGGAGTCCAGTCCAACCGGTCCGAGCTCCGGGGAGCGCCGGCCACTGCCCGGCTGCCCGTCTCCCCTCCACTTCGCAGGCCCCCGGGACGCCGGCAGCGCCTGACCGGGCCCAGCTGCTCCCTCCCTGCCCGGGGCCGCGGATACGGCCGCCAGGTTTAGCAAATAAAAACAGAATGCCCAGCTCCGTGTGGAGTTCAGACAGGCCACGAATAAGGTTTTAGTACGCCTACATCCCACGCAACATTTCGGACATGCTAATACTAAATGCTCTTTATCTATGATGCAAAGGTAACTGGGCGTCCTTTCATTTTATCCGCAACTCTATCGCCGGCCGAGGGGCCGGACGCCGACATGGTCACTGTCAGGCCGCAGTGATATCAGGTCGCAAGCTGTCGGGATTAAATGGCCCCCGGCAGGAACCCGGGCTGCAGGAGGACAGAGCGGTCCTCAGGCCTCACCTGGAATCCCGCTACAGCCTCGACCCGCGTCCGAACCAGCTCACCACCTCCTCCCAGCAGCCGAGCCCAGCCGCCACAGGGCGGGCTTCCCTTCCCGCAACGTAGCCGGCGCTTCCGGCGCGCCCCGTCACGCGCACCCACTTCCGTCGCGCACGCGCCACCTCTCGGCCCCGTAGTCCTCGGCCCGACCGCCGCGGCCCGCCGGAAGTTATTGCCGCTGGCTTCCGGCCCGCTGAGACTGGGGCCTCGCTTGCTCCCGATCCGGTCGCCACCGTTGCAGAGTCCGCAGCGGACGGGAAGCGCCGTCATGCCCAAGTATTACGAGGACAAGCCGGAGGGCGGCGTGTGCGCGGGCCTGAAGGAGGACCTGGGCGAGTGTCTGCTGCAGTCGGACTGTGTGGTCCAGGTAGCGCGGCCGGGCGCTCCCGGTGGTGACGACGCCTGCCCCGGGGAGGCCCGGCTCGGCGGAGGGCAGCGGGTCGCCCGCGGCGGCGGTTGGAGTTAACCATCCCGGGCGGAGGTCACAGCTCGGGCTCACTGAACGTGCGCAGATCCGCTGAGCTAGTTCCCCGTGGGGTTAAATCGGAGATAACGATAAACCCACCCTGTCGGGTTTTTGCAAAGATTAACCCATTTCAGTTCACGAAGCGTGTATTGCATGCTAGCACTCTGCCGGGTTCTGGAGACATAAAGGAGAATAAGCCAGGTTTCTTGCCTGCCTAGAAATGATGATCTGCAGAATTAATGATTCCAGAGAGTTGCGTAAACCTGGTACACTGCCCTGGCCAGTCGTGTCCCCTGCCCGTTCAGTTGTGACTGAATGTGTGCTCAGTTTGCCTTGTGTTGATATGAATTTGTTTCTGAGTTACAGTTCTCTGCATTCTTGGATGTTAAGTTGTAAAAATAAAGCAACTCCATGTTTTCACGATTTGGTATCTTGCTTCCCCTACGCTCTTACTTCACTCCCCTACTACAGACATAGGTCTCCTCAGCACCCTCTCGGAATGCACTGAGGCATGTAGTGAGGTTCAGAGTGGACCTGGGTTCTGGTTTTAGAGCTCAAATAAACCACAAGTGCCTTTTCCAATTACAGAGGCCCGACCAGAGGGCATTCAATTGTGTACGGTTATCTTTGCATTGGGAGATGTAGTTCCAGAAAGTTGCTGTTATTTCAGAGAAAAGATTACCCCCAAATGGACATCCACTATAGGGCCGTATTAGTGTTTCTGCCGAGTCACAATTTTATGTTTGGTTCACTGATTTTAGCAGTCGGCCATTCTCGCCTCCCAAGGTCTAGTAAAACTTGAGTTATTATAAATTTAAGAGATTATCTCGCCCAACTTCCTTATATAAATGAGGAAACTGAGGTACCGCTGTTTTCAGGCTCCCCTGTCCGGGGCTGTGTCCCCTCTGCCCCGTATTCACTGGTGCTGCCATTCAGCCAGCTCCTGGTAAATGCCTCTTAAGTGGCAGGCATGGTGCCTGACACTGGTTATAACGAAGATGAATCAGTTGCAGTCACTATCCATGTAAGCTTGGTGTCATGGGAGAAATAGACATCTAAGAGTCTAAATTCCTGCCATAATACTGTAAGCATTTATTAAACGTGTTTAATGACTAGATCTTGAGGAAAAAAGTGCCTTAGCCCAATGGAGAGCATCTGATTTTGCTTCAGAATTTGGAATCTTCTGAGGTGACATTTGAGCTGAGTCTTAAAAGTTGAATAGCAGTTTATCAAGTAAAGAAGTGGGAACTGTTGTGATTGTGGGGAAGATCTGAAAGAACAGCAAGTGCAGAGGCAGGGAGACGTGGGAGGGCCCAGAGGAGCTAGCGTCCTGCAATACGGGAATGCGAGAGAAGCCTGAGGGGAAGGTTGCAGCCAGGTGTGAAGGCCTGCGCGTGTGTCAGAGTGAGGAGACTGGATTTTATCTAGATGTTCAGCACGGAAGGCCACGTTGATTAGTCAAGGGAAGAAAGCACACCGAATAGGACTGAGGAAAAAAAGTCCAAGCGGAAGACAATAGCAGCAGCACAGAGAAGTCCAAGCTGGCTTTCTGCAGCGGTTGATACAGCAAACATGTATGGAGTGCCAGGCTCCGGCTCAGGGAACAAACACTGACGAATGGGACATGGCCTCTGCAGTGTAGAAAGCGGGGCCGTTTGGCTGGAATGCTGTAGGTAGAGATTGTGGTCGCGACAGCTGGTACAGACTTTGCTTTTCCCGCCATTGAATGTGGCCTTACCAGTGCTCAGTTTGGTCAGCCAGAAAATGTGATGCTTATAAACAGTTCTTTAGATGGAAGTTCGTTTACAGGTTGTGTTAAATTCATTCTGAATGGTGACTTCAGCTGGAGTGTAAAAGGGCAAAAGTGAAGAGGTTTGCAGGTCCAGAACCATCTCCTACAGTCTGTTGGCAGCTGCTGCCGACCGCTCCTCACTGGGGACTCTGAAAGACCAAGGAAAGCTCTGCTGAGGTCTTTGCTTGCTCTGTATGGCAACCTTATTTATGATGGAAATTTCTGATTTCTTAAGTTCTTGAATTAAAAAGGTTAATCTGATCTTAGGGCAGGTTGGTGCTGTAGTCTCTTCTTGCCAGTCCACCTGAAACCTGCAGCACCTCACTCTAGGGAGAAATTCAACATAAACATGTATTTAGTTCTAGATGCTGCTTTGGGAGATTGTCAAGGAGTTAAGAGGGCCTCAGAGAAACTCAGGGTAATGGTAAGGATGTAAATTCCAGTGGGCCTGGAGGGAAGCAGGGAAAAAGCAGATTCAAAAGGCATCTCTTGAAGAGACTTCTTAGGATTTAATGACTCCTGATGATCAGGACAATGAAATTCTGCCAGAGGAACTTCACTCATCACAGGATATCTTCTTTGTCTCCACTAACAGCTTCCAGACCTGCTGACTCTTCATCAGAATCACCTAGAAGTGGCGTGGCTTTTTTTTTTTTTTTTGAGACGGAGTCTCGCTCTGTCGCCCAGGCTGGAGTGCAGTGGCCGGATCTCAGCTCACTGCAAGCTCTGCCTCCCGGGTTCGGGCCATTCTCCTGTCTCAGCCTCCTGAGTAGCTGGGACTACAGGCGCCCGCCACTGCGCCCGGCTAGTTTTTTGTATTTTTTAGTAGAGACGGGGTTTCACCGTGTTAGCCAGGATGGTCTCGATCTCCTGACCTAGTGATCCGCCCGTCTTGGCCTCCCAAAGTGCTGGGATTACAGGCTTGAGCCACCGCGCCCGGCCTGAAGTGGCGTGGCTTTTTAAAAGTACAGATTCCACTGCTGCCCTCACCCCACCCCCAATAAGTTAAAAGTTTCTTTCCTAGGTTGGTTCTTGGTCACAGCCATGTTTGAGAGCACTGACTAATCTTGACCTCAGAAGGCAAAAAAGCTTGGGAGTGTATTAGTTAAAATACAGATTCAAGCACATGTTACAGAGACCCAGAATAATAGTGGCTTAAATAAGATAGAGAACTTTCTCTTTTGTTCTTGTGCCTATAATCAGGGCCTGGTCATTTCCCTCAATCTCCCATGGACACAGACACTGTTATTCTTGTGACTCTGTGCTGTGAAAATAGGAAAATATAGGAAATAGGGTGTTGCTCTCATATTCATGGTCCAAGACTGCAATCATCAGGCCCGGCAACCTTATGGAGTGAAGTGAGGAAGGGGGCAAGCCTCTTTAAAGACCAACCCAGAAGTTCTACGCCTGTTTCCCACACATTCCAGTGGCTAGAACTTAGTCACCATGACCACAGCTAAATGCAAGGGTGTCCAGGAGATTCTCACCCAGTCATATGCTGGATAAAAAGGAAGAGCAGACAGCTAGCAGTCTGTTATTTGGGGTGGAATGGATGATGAATGACTGTCTCTTAGCTTTAGTGTATCTAGATGGATTTTTACCCCAGGCAGTTGGCAATATAGGTTGAAAGCTTTTGAAAAAGGTAGCTTCTTAGATACAGTTTGAAGAGGCATCAGCTTATAAACTATAGTTACAACCTTTTGTATGGTTAGTCTGTTGTCTGCCTCCACATTGTTCATGTGGGCAAGGCATCCCGCCAGCAGAATTGCAGAGTTTGGAGAGGAAGGAAATTTGCGACTCTGATCCACTTTTGAGAGTCACTGGTGTAGATGACATTTGATATCTAGGACCCAGGCAGACATACAGACTGGAAGGTGGCCAGGATCCTGGGGGACAGGAATACCACAGACATACTACCCTGTAGCTTTTCATAGTAAAAACTAGCGGAGTGTGCCTGGCACTTGGAACATAAATGTTCTGGGGAGTGGCTGCAGTGATGCGGTTGCAGAGTCAAAATCTGCTTGAGGGAAAATCCCTGATTATGCAGAGCATATGAGCTTTGGGTTACATTTTTCCTGGTGCATGAATGGGCCACATTTCTATTTAAGTAGTATTCTAGCCCGCCTCATACACTTTAGCTATGTAAAGTGTTTCGTACTGACACTAAAAATATTCTGATTTTAAGGTACCCAGTTCACACATTTCACCCATAAGGAAATGAAGGTATCCTTTTCTAGATATTAATATAAACAATTTAAGGAAAAGTGTCCCATGGAAACCAGTGTTTTCAAGAATTCAACAGTGTCCTTAAAGTTCCCAAGTTACATTTTTTTTCCATTCTTTAGGCACCAACAGCCCAAATAGATTTTTTTGTTTGTTTTTTTTGAGACGGAATCTCACTCTGTCACCCAGGCTGGAGTGCAGTGGCCAGATCTCAGCTCACTGCAAGCTCTGCCTCCCGGGTTTACACCATTCTCCTGCCTCAGCCTCCCGAGTAGCTGGGACTACAGGCGCCTGCCACCTCGCCTGGCTAGTTTTTTGTATTTTTTAGTAGAGACGGGGTTTCACCGTGTTAGCCAGGATGGTCAAGAACTGTTTCTTACATAACTCTCTATTTTCCTCTTTTAACACTTTAAAAAAGGACTGTTTTCAGGACAAGTATTTTGTACTTTGTGAGAAAATTTCCAAGGTGTTTATATTGTTTTATGTGTCTGTCATAGGAAGGAAAATCCCCTCGGCAGTGTTTGAAGGAAGGACACTGCAGCGCTTTAAAATATGCATTTTTTGAGTGTAGAAGATCAATGGTAAGTGGTTAAAGATTTTTAAAAGCTTATGCTAAAAATTAGCTATATGGAGGTTAAATATATGAATGACTTAATAGTTATAGA